TTGCTCAACATTTTAATAAATGACTCAGATGAGGACACGAATGTGTATATTTATCAAACCTGCAGTTGACACAAAGCTGAGTGGGATAGCTAAAACGATGGATGACCGAATCAGGATCCAAGAGGTCTTGACAGGCTGGAGCTCTGTGTCGAATCTAACAAGATGAAATTTAACAAGGATAAAGGTAAGTCCGACACTTAAGTCCAAAAAAGCCAATGCAAGACAGGAGAGAACTGACTTGATGACAATTGGAGTCGAAAACGGGTTTTAATGGACTGAAATCAAAGCTGGGGTCAAAAGCAAGGAAGTAAGCAGGAAGCAAGGTTTAGCTTCATAAATATTACTTTATTTTTGGTCCAATGTAAACTTGATAGATCTGAAAAACTTAACAGGCCACCTTAGGAGGTTAGTGTATTATTACTGGTGTCTTTGACCCAAGTTAGATGACTCCCCTGCTTGCTAAAGAGAAAGCAGTGGAATATAGTACAGGGTTTAGCAGAAGAAATGACCCTAGGCCAGTTGGTGGGGTGGTGGTTAAGGTGGCTGGACCCACCACAGCCAACTACACAGTTTGAATCTGGACCCAAGGGCTTGAAGGGCACATCAGAGGTGTGTGTAATTGCATGCTCAAAATCCCAAGAGGTGAATGGAGAAGGGATTGTAGCAAAGCCATACCCATGAGGGGTGCTTTCTCACTCTCCCATCACCCCATTGTTGAGCACATGGCTCCCTATAATAAACTAAAAAAAAAAAAAGAAAGAAAAGAAACTACCCAAATAGTGCCAAGATTCTACAATATATTTATGATTTATGTGTAAGCATATGCAATTATAATTTACAAGGTAAAAATCACTCCATTTTAATCGATTAAAATGGTAAGAGTAACTAGGTAAGTCCTTAAAATTTTGATGGAGGGGCTGGCAGGTGGTGTGCTGGTTAAGGGTGCTGGACTCCCATATAGCCGACCACAATTCAAGCCCCAGACCTGATGGTTTGCTTTCTCACTTTCCCTCTCCCACTCTGTCCCTCTCTGGTCAAATTAAAATAAATAAATAAATAAAGTTAAATAAAATAATTCTTTAAAAAAAGTTGCAGAATGGGGAGTTCATATTTAGGCTTCTTTTTATTTGTCCCCTTTCCTTTATTAGTTCAGATTTCAAAAGAATGATAATGGTACTTTCTCATTTCTCTCAACTAACTTTAAGAAAGTTTTAAGGGCCAGCAGGTGGCATGGTGGTAGAGGTGCTGGCCTCCCAAGTGGTAAACTGCAGTTTGAGTCCCAGACCTGGCAGCTTGCTTTCTCTCTCTCTCTTTCTCTCTCTCTCTCTCTCTAATGAGTGCAAGCACACGTGCCCTAGAGCAAGTTAATGTAATAAAAAATTAAAAAAAAAAAGCAGATAGCATAATAGTTATGAATTTGGACTCCCACATAATCCCACTCCCACATAAGCTGGACCCAACAGCTTAAAACATACTCTGGGGGGACCAGCAGTTAGCATAATGGCTATGTCGCTAGACTCTCATGTAGTCGACTGGGGTTCGTGTCCTGGACCCAGTGGCTTAAACTCACGCTGGCGCATGTGTGTGCATGCCGAAGATCCCGAGAGGAGAATGGAGAAGGGATTGCGGCATGACCACGCCCCCTGGGGGGTGATTTCTTGCTTTCTGTCTCTCTGTCACTGGGCTCCCACGGAGTTGACCATGGTTCAAGTCCCAGACCTGGTGCCTTAAACTCACACCAGGTGCATGTGTGTGCCAAAAACCCAATTGTTCCAAAAAAAAAAAAAAAAAAACCTCTCTTAAAAAAAAAAAAGAAAAATACTCACACTGGGCACATGTGCATGCCAAAGATATCGAGAGAACAGAAAAGGGATTGCGGCATGGCCATCCCCTGAGGGGTGATTTCTGTCTCTCTGCCTCTCTTCGTCTCTCCAGCGAGCACACGCACCTTATAGTCAAAATCTCAAAAATATATATAAATAAATAAATTTTAAAAATAATAAATAAAATTAAACAATTTTTTTTTAGAGATTTTTGCTATAGGGTGTGTGCGCTCACCACAGAGAGAGACAAAGAGACAGGAAGGGAAGTGAGAAATCACCCCCCAGGGGGGCTGGCCACACTGCAATCCCCTCTCCTCCATTCTCCTCTCAGGAACTTGGGCACACAAGCATATGTGCCTAACATGAATTTAAAGCTGCTGGGCCTGGGACTCAAACTGTAGTTGACTGTGGGAATCCAGCAACATAACCATTATGCCATCTGTTAGTCCCAAATAAATAATTCTTTAAAAAAAAAACGTTTAAACTTGCTATTATGGAGATAAAATATGCTCCTTAAAAATAAAATATTTCTGGGACCAGCAGTTAGCGTAACGGCTATGTTGCTGGGCTCCCATGTAGTCGACCGTGGTTCACGTCCCGGACCTGGTGGCTTAAACTGACGCCGGGCGCATGTGCGTGTGTGCCCAAGATCCCGAGAGGAGAATGGAGGAGAAGGGAATGCAGTGTGGCCAACCCCCTGGGGGATGATTTCTCACTTTCTGTCTCTCTGTCTCTTTCTGGCGAGCGCACGCGCCCTATAGCAAAAACCTCTCTCTCAAAAAAAAAAAAAAAAAAAATCTAAGGAATACAAAATGAAAAGTGGGGCTGGTAAGTGACATAGTGGTTAAAGGCGCTCAATTCCCAAAAGGCCAATCATGGTTCAAGTCCCAGACCTGGTGGTTTCCTTTTCACTTTCTTTCTCTCTCTGGTCAAATTGGAAACTAATAATAAAGTTAAAATAATTCTTTAAAAAAAAAAAAAAAATGAGGGACCAGCAGTTAGCGTAATGGCTATGGCAGGATGGCACTAGCAGTTAGTGTAATGGCTATGTCGCTGGACTCCCACGTAGTCGACCGCGGTTTGAGTCCCGGACCCAGGGCTTAAACTCACTCCGGGCACGTGTGCGTGCGTGCCCAAGATCCCAAGAGGAGAATGGAGGAAAAGGGATTGCGGCGTGGCCATCCCCCCTGGGGGGGGTGATTTCTCACTTTCTATCTCTCTGTCTCTCTCTGTCTGGCGAGTGCACACACCCTATAGCAAAAAACTCTCAAAAAAAAAGAAAAAAAAATGAAAGTGAAGTTTCTCCTCCTGCTTTTCTATTATGAATATCTCTTCAGCTCTCTGAAGATCCTCGTTCTCTGCATCCCTGAGAGACTTACAGTCCGTACACCAAGATGGCTTTTTATTATATGCAACATTTTTTCCCCAAAAAGACCAGGAGTTCCTAAAGGAAAGGCCTGTCTCTTACTTTTGTGTAGCTCATGTACCAAATACAGGCTCATTATAGAGACAAATATCTGTTTAACTTTCTGATACTCCTGAAACAAGAACAGCAATATTATTTAGATGCTGTTATTTTAATTCCATGTTTACAGTGAACTTGCCAATCAAACATTAATTTACCTCTCCTGACTAACCCACTCAGCTCACTGGTTTATGTTCATCCACCAATTGTATAAGAAGAAAACAAGATCTCCAAATCAATCAGAATTCCACAATCCCGTAGGCATGGTTTAGGGTTGGTCATATAATCCAATCTAGGCCAATGAAGTGCAAGCAACTTAAAGCTAAGAGGATATAAAGCACCCCAAGTACTGCAGCTATCATGGGACCAGTGAGGAAAGCCTAGCCAAGCATGGAACCAACACCTAAAAGAGCAAACCTGAGAAAGAGGAAGAAAGGGGACCCTGGTGACATAATTGAGCACTTCTTTAAGTAGTAGTATCACCCTTCTTGATCTCAGACTGACTTCAAAGCTTTCTTCTTCTACCAGGCTTACAACTGACTCCCTATTTTATCTTTATACTCAAGGAACTCTTCTCATCGAGCCTGATGGATAGAGTAGATGGAAAGAAAGAATAGGACTCTGAATACAAACAACATAAACGGAAATATAAACACACATTCGTACCAGCAATCTGTGAACTATGTAAGTGTGCAAGAGGCAATGGCATGGAGTACTGAATAAAAAACGGAGATGTCTGGGTGTGCAGGACGGGCGAAGATACGCTTTACAATAAAGAGGCATCTGGGATGGCCACTGCAAACTTCTTGTGCCAGTCTCTCTCGCTCATTAGGGACAATGGTTATCTTTCAGTTCTTAAAAACTAAGCTCTTTTCTAGCCTTGAAGCAATTATGCCGCTATTTGGATTCTCTTTCTACAAATCAGGTTATGATTGACTCCTCACCCATTTAATCTGTTCAAATGCCACTTCTTCAAGATGCCTTCTAGTTTAACAAGCCTAAAGGGGGTCTTTCCCTCTTCCCATCACAATAGCTTATTTCCCTTAAAAGTCTGATGACAGCGGTATTTCCTTGTTTACTTTAAGAATGTAAGCGTCCTGAGAGCGAAGATTCTGTCTTAATCATCCCTTTGTCTTTATAATAAAATTCTGGCACAGAGAGGTAGGTACTAAATGAATTAATTAATCTATGGCAGGACAGATGAATGGCAAAAAAGTGAGAAGATCGTTTAGGAGGACACTTGGCTTTGAGGGAAGACGGTTCCCAGAGAAGGAGATAAGAAGGTTGAAAAAGTCGCCTGGGCTAGAGGCTACATAAGACGCAGAAGGCTTACGGCAGCCGGCCGGAGTGACAGCGTCGGACCAGGGCTTCAGGCTTCCCTGACAACGCGTGGGGTAGGTGGAGGGGCTTAAAACACCGGGCGACCACCTCCGTGTTCTTTTCAAGGAAAGCAAAAGCGACGGCTCTCTCCTAATTCTGCTCCGTTTGGTCCCACGGACCAAACGCGGCTGTCCCCGGCGAAATCGCTATAGCCTACGGTCAC